TGTGATATGGCAAAAGACCTGGCCTTACTTGAAATTTACATCTGCTCTGTGACCCAAGGGTATTCGTGGCAATGTGGCCGATTGGTTAACGTGTCAGACTCAGATTCTGCGCCATCACGGTTCGACTCCCGCTGGGGGTGTCGATAAGACATATGCGAGCTCGAAACTGTAGCCCACCCTGAGTGAGAACTAGTTTTAGGAAGGCAAGGCTATGTGAAATTTGATGAAAACTTCAGCTTTACTCACATGTGTGGGAACATTCTACGACCAGTCTTTCTTCATCTTATACGAAATAGGGTGAATACATCTCATATAACTATAATAGTAGAGTAGTTCCAGAAAGATGCTTTATCTAGGTCGCAAATGGAAACACGAACAAGTTGCGTAAGAGGTCAGACCCCTTTTATACAGTGAAAGGAGACTGTTACCAAAATAGAGGCACCGTTATCTTGACCCTCATGTCTGTTTATATGTAGCGTCAGCATACACTCACAACTTGTTCTCGTACCATTTTGGTGTGAGTGCTTTATTATATAAAACCATCACGAAACTTCTCTCGTAATGGATTCGAGTGTAGCTACAAGTGTGAGTAACAGGTTGAGAGATCGGGTATCCTGGGTGAAGAGGACCCAGGGGACATAAAAGACGTTTAGAAGTGGTTTCAACTCGTTTTTTTAATTTGGTCGTATTTTCAAATGGACCTAGATGAACGAACCTTGTTCAGATTCCTCTGTCATAATAGCCATGACAATTTCCAGTGCCGGACTTTTGACTTGGTACATTCACAGACGTTTTGCCAGCATTTTCAATAAGCCTCGTTTTTCTTAGCACCACAAAAGATGTTTTATCACATGCTAGATCCTGTATGGGCAAATAAATTAGTAAAATTTATAAGTAGGATTTCAAGACTCATATATTTAAGTAAAGTCACTTAATTCGTAGATTTTTAACTAGTAGTTTGGACGATAAATATTAATTTTAACACAGTAATGGTTTTATGTTTAGTGAAGACGAGTATCCTAGTTATAATGGTGAATGTCTTGAAGCCTTATCTTACCTGGGAAGATTTGACTACAATATTATTCAGTGTAGAGAGATTGAAAAGTGGCAAGGACCCGGATCAAAACCCCCGATAAGACCTTTGCGAGGTAAAAATCCTACATCAGCGAGACGACCAGAACTCATTATTTCTCATTCTTTTTGCAGCAATTATCCATTATTTTCTTTGCTTTTTCAGCTTCACAACTAAACCCTTTGTCCAGTGCTTGCAGATCACCAACGTTCACTATTGACGTTTGCCCCAAAGGGGCCTGGATATTCAACAGTGTCAAACCTCCTTTTTGCAGCTCTGCTCCCAATGTCATGTCATCTCCAATAATTAGCCGAGGTATTACAACCAACATCGGGACAAATAGTAACTCAAATAGGACGCATATGGCCGATTCAGCACCAACTTGGATAAGTCATACGGAGTTAGATAGAGCGGAACTGGCGGCGCGTGTCCTATTCTCAGCTATGGTTTGGATGATTCAGTGCGAGCCGTTTCGACTACTGGAGTATAAGTACCAAGTGAGAGATGCAAT